AGGATGACTTGCCCACCATTGTTTTGTTTCATCAACTGCTAAGTTTTAGGGAAACACAGAATCTTCAAAGGACATGGCCGGTAGCTCAATTGGTTAGAGCGCCGTCCCAATATGCCAAGGTTATGGGTTTGACCTCTGGTCAGGGCACATACAAGAAGCAACCAATGAATGCATAAATAAGTGGAACAACAAATTGATGTGCCCCTCTCTCGCTTTCAAATCAGTAATAATAATAAAAAAAATCTGTAAAAGTTGTTATAATTGATATATGATCTTATTCAACTCCTTGGTTCTAGTATCCCTTTTTCTTCTCCATCTTCTTCTATTTTACATGATCATTTATAATGCAAAACCATGATTCATATAGAATTTTAATCTCAGTGGAAATCTAACTGCACCACTTGAAGTTAATTCAAACTGCATAGATACATAGGTAAGTAACCGGCCTGATAAAACCATGTTTTCGTAAAAAATAAACTAGCTTGCTATTACAGAAAGCAAGTTTCTGAATAACTTTCAAACACCTTGATTTTTTACTTTTGAATTTTGAAAATGTACCTTCTATTAAACATATACAACTTTTTGTGTTTGCTACAATGTACAATAGAATGTTTCTAAGTTGGATGGAGGAAATGAATTATGGTCAGAGGTGTGTGTATATGTGCACAAGTACACACTAACCACCGGGCTTTGTGTATAGGTCCAGCAAGTTCACTGGTTGCCTGATACATTCATGACAATAGCAATGATAATGATAACAATAAGAGCAGCAGGTATTTGAGTAATTAATAACTTATCTAGGCATAGTGCCTTAAAAGTTATGTAATTTAATCATCACATCTACTTAATCTTAGGTAATATTATCACCATTTTACAGATGAAAAATTGAGCCCTTAGCCGGAGAGCAGCAGAACTGAAATTCATACTTATGCTGCTCATTTCTTGCACAGCATCCTTTGGAGCCTTGTAATTGGACATCTTCCCAATAATCTACTTAATGGCCTCCATAAAAATATCAATTCATTCATAACACAAAACAACAAATTTGAGGTGGGAGAGCCTAATTTACTTAGATAGTCACATCTTGCTAACAAGTGTTTGATAACATTAGCTTAATTATGGCCTCTGAAAATGTGTATTCTCTTCAATGGAGCAAAATCACAAAAGACTGAACAGGTGAGAAAGAAAATGAAATTAGGCAATCCTTATTATAAATCATATATTCTCAGAAAAGAGGCAATTCAACAAATGCACTATCAAGCCATAGATAAACAAGGCAATGTGTAAAATACCCACAGGAATAAGATACTTGTCCTACCCTCAAATAATTCATTACCAATTACCTGGAAGAAAGATATATACACCATTTGTGATGGTAGAGGTAGGATCATTATCACTATTATTTATTGAGCAAATTTATTATATCCTAGGTGCTGTGCTAAATATTTGTGATCATTTTAAAATCTCACACCAACTCCAATTATTATCCCCATTTTATAGATATAAACGCAAAGGGTAAGAGACGTGTTTAATATCACACCATTAGTACCAAGGGAAACCCTATTCAGTCCAAAATGAGCTTTACAGCACAGCTCTGGTCCTATGTGGCTGTGGTACCTGCCTTGCCCCAGGAGAGATTGTGATAGGTGCTGTAAAAATGGTAGAGACTGAATTCTAAGCACATGAAACAAAATCTATATATATATATATATATGTAAAAGCCTAAGCAACTGGTCAACCGGTCACTGATGCACACTGACCACCAGGGGGCAGACACTCAACGCAGGAGCTGCCCCCTGGTGGTCAGTGTGCTCTCCCACAGTGGGAGTGCTGCTCAGTCAGAAGCTGGCTCCTAGCTGGTGAGCGCAGCTGCAGCAGCGGGAGCCTCTCCCACCTCTGTGGCCATGCTACTGAGCGGTGGGGCTGCGGCAGTAAGTGCAGCAGGGCCGGGATGAGCAGGAGCAGTGCAGTGCCCAGCCAGAGCTTGGGTTCCTCCCAGGCTGCCTGCCACTTTGCACACTACTACATCCCTCAGCAGAAATCAGCAGTCTGACATCCCCCGAGGGGTCCTGGATTGCGACAGGGTGCAGGCAGGCTGAGGGACCCCACTAGTATATGGATCCGTGTACCAGGTCTCTAGTTGTAATACAAGAATCATTCTCAACCAAAAATAAGTGATTTGGATATTATCTATGTCTTCCTAGACTGAAAACTTGATGAAAAATTGACTAAAAACTGGACTTGGTATTCCAAAAACATTATAAGCACGGACCATGTAGATGTGACTTTTGTGTAAGAGGCCCTTGGGTTCCTGAATGCCTATAACCTGCAGTGTCAGAAGTCCTTGCCCACGGAGAGTCACTGAGGCAAGGAAGAGGTAAGAGTTTCCAGTGGAGCTGATCTTACCTGATCCAAATAGCCACTTGCCATTTTTCAAGAGCACTTGACTTCTGAAAAGCTATTCTATGGTTCAATTTCCCTAGCACCTACCACTCCTTAAGCCTGCCTCTAACCCCTAGATTTCTAGAGGTTTTATGGACCTTCAATACATTCTACAAGTCATTATTTACAGACTTAAAGAAGGCCTGCCATTTTTAATCCCACTCTGTACTGTCAATTTACACTTGGCCCATTTTGAGTTTTAATACAGAGTTAATTAACTCTGCTTTATTGTCTCTCCAAGAAAATTTAAACAGGAACAAATTGATCTTCCCAATACATTGGCCAAGCCATAATTGACCTTCTGTCCTTGCAGAGCAAGACTCAAATGAGTTTAATAAAAAAAAAAAGTCACATAGATCTGGAGTCTATACACACCTGAAGATTAAGCTCATTCTACCTCTTGGAATTCAGCCACTAAAGTGCGTGGACTCTAACTGATCATGTTTTGTGCCAGGAGTCCATCAGGAGTGGAAAGAGAGCCTGAGATTATTCTCAATCAGTGCAGACCAAGTGTCCAGTAGAGAAATGCACAACAATTTTATACTATGAACATTTCTAAAAAACATAATTGAATGTAGCTACTGGTGGAGGTGAATGAGTGAATGAGTGGAGTGATGCAGAATAGTTTTCATTCAAACCACAGAGACTGCACAAAATTCCACTGCACACTGGCTAGGATATGAGTGATGAGCCTCCACCACACTGCAAAACTCCTCAAACAGGCGTACTCACCCTTCCCTAAAGTCATACTTGTACTTCCTTTTCTATAAAAAGATATTACTTCTCCTTAAAGGCATTGTATTAGTGGTGGGGTGTTTCTAACTGATTTATGGACCATTCAACTTAGTCACAACCAAAGCTTCATAAAAAAGTATACTCACACTAATAGTGCTTGAAAAAAAGGGGGCTGGGGAGGCCCTTCATTAAGCCTATCCATCACACGCCAAACCTGTTTTTTCCATGAACAGTTGAGAACCCATGCGTCAATGAACACCTTAAAAGGCAAAGAGATGTAGAGACCAAAGGCTCACCCTTCAATTTTAATGCTGAGCAGCACTGCCTGAGTTTGCAATAATGTAAATCATGCTTGATGGATTATTTTCAAATTAAAACTGGAACAGTGTTACCACATGCTATTTCCTTCATTTACAATGTTCTGATGTGGAATTCATTTAGTATTCAATGATTCCCAATAATGCAAAACAAAAAAACCCTTTAGTTTACAAAAAGCAAGATTTGTTTCTATTCTAAATTTAACTCATGAGGAAAACCCCTACAAATTCATTCAATATATGGTACTGTGGTCTACTTTGCCATCTGCATTTTGAAAGGGGATGGAAACAAACTGAATGAGAGTGAAAAATGTTGCTGAGAGAACAAAAGACAACATACTACGCACAGTGAAAGGACTCGGGAATATTTAAGATAATATATAGGCAAAATTATTCTGCTGTCTCCTGGGCTTGACCGATCACACCCAGTACTTCTGTCTTAATATGCATCATTCTCAGTTGTTACCCCCTTTTAAAAAAAATCTTCACCCAAGGATATGCTTATTGATCTTAGAGGGAGATAAAGGGAGATAGAGAGAAACATTGACGTGAAAGAGAAACATGTGCCCCGACTGGGGATCGAACTTGCAACCCTTCCATGGAAGGGATGACACTCCAACCAACTGAGCCATACTGACCAGGGCTGTTAATTGTTATATTTATCAAACCATAAGTTCCAAGAGGTCAATAACCTGTCTGTCCTGCTTATCTTTGTATCTACTATACTTATGAGAGTGTCTAACAACAAGCAGGAACTTTATATTGTTTTATGAATGACTGATTAACTGAAGACGTGGCTGTGACTGTGTGTGGCCAAACAAGTAGAACTAAATACAATGTCAATTTTGGTTTGATAAAATGTTAAACATTTTCTAACAGCCAGAACCACTGTAAGCTGGAAGTGACTACCGAGGTGTTTGAGTAGAGGCGATATCACACATCAGCATGGGTGTAGTAGACAAGAATCCAACTCATGGGTCCTGAATACACCTCATGATCTCTAAGATGCTTGCTACCTCTGAGGCTGTATGATTATAACACAGACCCTTCCCAAATTTGAGTGATAATTTACACTAAAGTCATTAGGACCCTTTTATGTGATCAGAATACATAGACAACTTTCAAATCAAAGAGGCTCAACTCTCACCTTCTATCTGGCTATACATTTATCTTGCATCAATTGAATCAAAAGTAATATAGTATCTGCTTTACTAGAAACCATTTTACTTTTTCTATTCTCTATGTTGTGTGTGTGTGTGTGTGTGTGTGTATGTATGTGTGTGTTTTCAAAATGTTTGGGCCCAAGAGTTGACTTAATAGATCCAAAATGGTATTCTTTACTAAAAATGGCTTTACCATTTTGGCTATCGGTAGTAACAAAGTACACCAAAGGGAACTGATAAAATTCCTTCACCCTCATAGCACTGTGTTTAATCATAGAAAATGATCCCTATACTTCATGAAATCAGTGTCTTCTTTTAATCACAGTATGGCTAAGCTACTTACCACAACAGAATAATAAATCTTGAATCCAGGCTTAGCCACAAAGTAGTCATCTGACTTAAATGTTATTTTAATTTGGTTTGTTCTTGATGTTATCCTTGGAGGAACTTCCTTGTGTCCACACCATCGTCCTCTAATAATGGTACTGGTTTCAGATACATCTTCAACTTCCACAAAGTCATATCTAGTATCAATTTTACAAATAGAAACAAATTTTTATTGAAGTAGACTTTGAAACATCTGTGATTTCTTATTACCTACTAGATGGGCTAAAAATTATAACCTACAGATATGTTAAAATCAAAGCAAGTTTTTGGATTAAGTTTTCTAAATACAAACTTCCACAATCTGTTCTGAGAGAAACTTTATACACATTTAGACATGACTGTTCTCAAATCATTAATAATCAAAACGGGCTATATTCTGAGCATCTGGCTTATAAGGTTTTCCTGGAAAAACTAATAACTATAATCTATCATCATATTTGAGAAGTTGTTGCCCTAACTATATGGTCAAATATTTGCTATATAAAGATTTTCAGACAAATCCCACTTTGAATTAATTAACCACACTCAGTACTTTCTTTAAAAAGGAACTAATCTGTAGCTGTACAGCATACAGAACCAGCATTTCATTGCACAATAGAAATCACATTTTTCTTTTGGGACACTGTCTTTTGAAAGGCTAATATAATAAAATATGACTTTTGTCATAATGAAAATCATATGACTTGGGTAAGGTTGTGTGCTAATCAATACTGTAAATATCTGGGCTGGTCAAACCAGGAGGTGAATGAGCCTAAGACCATAGGTTCCTTTTTGGCATTGGTCAGAGAAACAGGGGGTGCCAGGATTGAACCTCTTTAGACATTCCATACAACCATTTGATTCTCGAGGTCCCTCCATTCCATCCCACTTTTCCCCCACATAATAGAACATCTTCAGTGACAGAGTTGACATCTTCTAGGGACCATTTATACTATTTCCAGACACTCAACATCTTGGAACATTGTACTTGATGAGCTGTTTGCCTTTTGGTTCTGGGCATCAGTGTCTCACTCCTCCCCTCCACCTCTCCCTAAATGACTTCTCAATGCAAATGATTTACATTCACAGTGAACAGTGGCATTGAAGCCACTGAGTAAGGCCTAAGAAAATTCCTGGGCAAATGGACTGGGGAAACTGAGGCAGAGAGTTAAATGGCTGGCAATTTACAGCCAGATAATAAATCAAGAGGTATTATCTTCCCTAACCAAAAACAGTTAGGAGTAAATGGTTTCCACATTACAGGGGGCAGACTCACCTCAGTCCTGGTCCCCCTTGGGTGACATACTTTGAAGGTGAAACTGACCAGACAATGACCCTAATCCCTCTATGAGCTCATTTTGATACATCAGCATATCAAAGGACATACCTAGGAGGCAGCTGAATATTCTATAGAGATCCTCCCCTGAGAACTCCCCTAAAATTCCTGCCTTTAGAAACAAATAAAAACCGTTAAGACAAAGGACACAATGAGCGCTCTCCCCTGGAGCACACCTGGGCCCCCTACCCCCATTCCTTCCTCAGGCATGTATCTTAGCTTTTTCTAAACTCTAACAGTTCCAAGGAGACTTGCCACAAGGGGAGCAACAAGAAAGTGGCAGCTTGTCCCCACTAACCCCTGGACCTGTCTCCAAAGGCCCTCCTTTTGCCTGGGTAACTTGTTTCCTGAGCCCCTGCAGCCCAGCTGGCTCACTTCTTCTACCTCTCTGACTTTCCTTCTAAAAGGCCAAGGCAGCCATGACTAGGCTCAACTCCTCCTCACGTTCCCAAAGGCTCAAGGCAGCTCCACCTCGGCTCACTCCTGTTGCTCTGACCTTGCCTCTTCTATCTTAAGCCCTTCCTTTATTCACTGTCCCCAGTTTAATAAACTTACTCTCAAGATCACCTGGACTCATATCATGAAATCTTTCCTGCATGAAGTTAAGAACCCACACATTCCATACTGTGCCAGGGCAGACCCCCATCAGTCCTGGTCCCTTTCCTGTGACAGCATAAATCTGTTAAACATTTATATATATATATTTGTCACAATTGCCAAAAAGAATCAGCATGAGAAACACCACATCTAAATATAAAGGAAATCTAATATGGCTTTATGGTCCTACCCATGCACCTCAGAGCTCTTATTGGTTGGGCAGAATAGCCTAAGGAGGAGGCAAATACAACAGCATGCTGACTTAATTTTGTTGGCAGTGATGTATGAGAGCCTATGTCCTTTGCCTCAGTTACGTTATGAGCAGAATAAGAAGGTTTATATGATTTTCCCAGCTGATTAACTCTTGGGCACTGTGTAAACTAGTTACTTAAATTTTATACGGTGCTTGGAAAGTGAAAAGAACTAGCAATGAATTATTTCAAGCAATAAAATAATACAGTGTAAACGTCAAGGAGGCTTGGGACCAGAGGGTAGAAAACCAATTGCATTTCATTTTATATACAATATGTGTAAATCATATTTACTGCTCAAAGCTGGCGTTTACTGGAAACTTTGTTAAGATGGCAATAGGTCGTTCTTGTTTTTTGAGGACACATCAGCAGTGTAACATCTGCTCCGGATCTGATGTCAAGAGAGCACCACCATGTTTCTTAGGGAGCGCTGAGGTGAGTCTCTGAACTGTGTCTTTCCCTTCTTCTCGCCCCTGTCCACCTCTGATTCCTCTACTTCTTCATACATTTTGAGGAGCAACTAGATTTGATGGAGGGCCGCAAAGCTAACCATTCTAGCTTTCTCTTCTTCTGTTTTAGAGGCCAGGATGCCAAAAGAGCTCACTCACTACCAGAATCATAATCCCTGTTCAGTAGTAGAAATCGGGCTTTCTCCTTCCGTGTCATCACCTTTAATAATCTTTCAATAGTGCTGTGTGTGTGTGTGTGTGTGTGTGTATGTTTCTCATAAACTGTTTTTATTTTTCCAGTGCAGAAAATTAGTTCTTTCTTTCAAGGTTGAAAAGAAGCAAGATCTGCTCTAGTTTATCCTCCTTGTAAATACTGACTGGCTCTTCTGGCATGTATTTGAATCTGTTTTCGGACATACAGTACCCTCTATGGTCCTAAAAAGTCACAGTCACTGCTATTATTCTTGAAAAACATAGCAACATAATAAAAAAACTGTCAGCATAATAAACATGCAACAAGGGACAGCCAAATTTGAGGCTCCCTCTTTTTATTATTCAAAGAAAAATAAACCTGCTGGAAGGATTTAGCAGCTCAGTAGTTCATTGGCAATGCAGAATAAGTGTGCACAGTTAAGTACAGAAAAGAGAAAAATCCTCCCGGAGTCTTAGATATGCTAATTAAGTGAATAAGATGCTGTGGAGCAGACAATTCAAAAAAAAACAACAGCCAGGGCTTCGTCTGATAAATATTCCAAAAAAGGGAGATTATCAGCCACGGTTTTATCTTCTAATGCTGACTCAGAAACTACAAGAAACAGACCATGAGGAGCGCACAGTCCCTGGGGTTGCCACCTCTTCCTTCTTACACACACCTGAGACCTTAAAACGATGATGTCAGGGTAAGGGCCTGACACCGTAGGTCCTCCCTGTCACCCTCTCCCAGTGCTGCGGGAGCCGTTACTGTGCAGAGGTTACATAGTCTGATTAGTTCCTGGAGCCCAGTAGGGTACACACTCCTTGAGTCCAAGGCTGACTTGGGCCAGAGCCACAAGCCTTGGCTGCAGGTGAGGTAGGGTTATGGGATGCATCCATCTGCTCACAGAGGCTGTTGTAGTAGCAGACTCCTGCCTTCTCTGGGGGCTGGGGCCATGCAGCCTGGCTGTGACAGGTGTGAAAGTGAGGCTACTAGCCCCTCCACAGCACCGTCCATGCCCCAGTTTATTTTGTCCGTTAAGACTGACATAGGCTTTTTAAAAAAATTATTTTATTGCTTAAAGTATTACAAAGAGTATTATATCTGTCTCCTTTTTTTTTCTCCCCTTGACCTTCCCATAGCCTCCCATACCCCTCAGTGTCTTGTGTCCATTGGTTATGCTTATTTGCATGCATACAAGTCCTTCAGTTGATCTCTTACCCACCCACCCTCCCCTACAGGCCTTCCCGCTGTAGTTTGACATAAGGCTTTTTGAGAAAGAAGTGGTGCATTCTTGAGCAGGTCCAAAGAGCCCAAAAGGGGAGTTTGATGTGATGCTTTTCAATTCATCTTTTATTTTTTTTCACCTTGCAAGAGTTCTCTAAACTGGACATTTTTCTCCACTTACCTACAGATATCATTTTCTGCTTCCTCTAGTCCAAACTGATTGTCGAAGGCGAGCTGTATCCTTGTTTTCTCCTGGGAATGGAGCCGCCATGTCAGAAGCAGGTTCCGGGGGTAGCTGTTTGGGAAGCGGGGGCTCTGCACGTGGCCATTGCCTGTCACCTGGACGGTTTCGTCTCTCCGGTACAAGTCTGTGAGGTGATTGCTCTCTGTTAGTAGTCACAACTTGTAGAAATTAGTATGTTGCTCCAATTACAGGAAAGCAAAAAAAGAACAGTTTAAAAAACATCACATTTCAAAGCACTTCTTGATTTTTACTTGATTTTGTTTAAAAACATAAGACCCAATGGTAGCCTTCTGGTGAAACAAACAGCATATACATTTCTCCTATAACCCCCCACTTCCCCAAATTCCTCTCCGATATAGACTTGACGACAAATGCTTTGTATTTGAGGGGCTCTCTTAACATCATATTTGACAAGGAAAACTTAACGATTATCCCAGAACTCAGGTTCATTTTGATTGTAGTTAAAACAAGCAAATAATTTCAACTGGTTCATTCTCCCTCTTTTTTATGTTTTTAATTTAAATTCTTTATTGTTTAAAGTATTACATATGTCTCCTTCCCTCCCCTCCCCCCATTGGCCTCTCCCCAGCCACTCCCACTCCTCAGCACCATCCTTCCTCTTTTTAATGTAATACAAATAAAATTATTATTTTTTAAACGGGGGCAGTGTACTGGTATACCTTCATTGATTAGCATAGGAGGTAGGCACTCAATAAATAATGCTATATAAATGTACCCGTGAGTGAAAAACACATTTTAAAGATCTAATGATGTTGAATGACCCTCATTTTACATTCAAGTGACATTTTCCCGTGGTTTCTCCATCATAAAAATCATATATTTTTTTGTGTTAGTTTTTCATAGCTTAAATAGATCCAATTCATCTTCTATTTTCTGCGTGTTGTTTAATAGCATTTTTGTTTGGTCTTTGTCCTGAGTTCCTGAGAGGGAACTTCTAAACCCTGAGAATTTTGCAAGTAATAGAAGTGTTCTTTTTCATGGTACTCCCCTGGGACCACATTATGCTAATGAGGTGATACACTTGGAACCCCTAAGTAGTTTCAGGTAGTGTACTGGCCTCAACAGAAAGACCAACATGAGCTCTGAGCCTGGATATCAGCCTGGAGGGAAGGAGCATTGAGGAATGAGTTTAATCTCATTGCTTGTGATTCAATCAATCCTGCTTACAGAATGAAGGCTCAGAAAGACCCTGGTCCCTGGGGCTTGGGTAAGCTTCCTGGTTGGTGATATACACTGATGTGCTGGGAAGGCGATCTGTCCTGAGGAACAAAAGCCACATGTTGGGGACCCTCCCAGACTTGCTTGCTATATGTGCCCCTTTACTTGGCTGGTCCTGATTTGTACATTTTGTAGTAAAATTGTAATTTTAACTACGGTACTTTCTTAAATTCAAAGAGTTGTTCTAGTGTGAATGAAAAAAAAGAGGGGGTTCTACGGAAATTGACCTCACAGGGTGACATGATCATAGGTTCTTAACTAGGCAGGTCATGGTGGGTAGTCAGGCCCCAGGCACATAACTTTTTAGTAAGAAGTTTATATTTGCCTTAAGCAAGGCCTGTCCATTGTGTCTGCGCATCTAGGTTAACACACTTTTGAATTAAGCCATAACCAGCTGCAAAAAGCACATAATCCTGTTAACTATTCTGTAATCTGTAATCCAACCCCCTCTTACTCCCCCCCTCCCCCAGAGTCTTCCTTAAATTCCTCCCTTAATTTCTAATGCATAAAAGAAGCTGCAAAACTGTTATTCTCTGGAGCATTTGAGAGTTTGCTCCCCAGCATGTGTCTTCAGTTTGGCTCAAATAAACTCTTATAAAAATTCTCCACAGGCTCTAGCAGGTGTGGCTCAGAGAGGTCACAGGTTAGATTCCCTGTCAGGGCACATGCCAGGGTTGTGAGATTGATTCCCAGTAGGGGGTGTGTAGGAGGCAGCCCACAGAGATAGATCTTTCTCTCTCCCTCTCCCTTCCTATTTCTCTATTATCAATCAAAACATATTTTTAAGAAGTTATCTACAGGTTTGGACTTCTTACATCACCACTAGCAAATTCTCAAACCTGAGGGGCTGTGGGAAAGGCTGAATTTGTAGCCAGCTGGTGGGAAGTGGGGGTAGCCTGGGACCACCAAACTTGCAGCTGGTGTCTGAAGTGCAGTCTTGCAGGGACTGTGCCCTTAACCTGTGAAACCCGACCTAACTCTAGGTAGCTTGTATCAGAATTACATTGCACAGTGGATCCATTTTTCATTTCTCCCAGTGTCCAGAGTTCTTTGCGCTTTAGATTTTGGTTTTTTAGGCCCCTCTATAAGCAGACTCCAGCCAGAGCCTATTTCTGTTTCTCCTTAGAGAGTTCACTTGGGGGCCTGTAATTCAGTGAGCCTGGTCAGGAAGGTCTAAAGTGTTGGCGGAAACCACACAGAGGTTGGGCTGCTGAGGGTAGCTCTTAAAGTCTCCAAAATAAGAGAAGGCATGTGAACAATGAGTCAGCATGCGGAATGTAGTCTTCTCTCCCTTCTACAAATATTCCTGTGCATATGGGAATTTCCACTTCACTTTCTTTACTCATGCTGTTTGTAGTGTTGCACTTGCCCAGTTAAACTTTGTGTGGGAAAGAGAGTTCTAGGAAGAGCGAGATGGCCAAAGGAAGTCCACACTCCTGTCTGCAGACTAGGGCACTGGCTCCACAGGCACCACCTCCAGTGAGCTCAGTTAAAGTTAAAGGAAGCCTACAGGGCCAGAAATAGTTTTGCCAGCTGACCTGTTACTCTTCTCTTCCTTTGACCTTATGCTGAAAACGTAGTCATGAAAAGTACTTGTCTGCTGTAAGTGGGTGAAGGCTGTTGGCTAGGGAGTAGGGAGACAGGTGTGAGCTTTCAACGAGCCAGTCAACAGTCATTTATTAAGCACAAACTCTAATCAATGCAAGGAGATATTTTCAATCCTTCTATCTCTTGATTATTACTTTCACACTTTTGCCATATTTTCTTATCTTCAATACTATTATTTAGTTATAATTTCTCTAAATTAATATTTCTAATCAAAAGCAAATCTAGTCTAGATAAAACTTTATATCAACAATGTAAATAGCAATGGATACCATATGCCATGAATAGAAGGCAACCACAAATGAGTATAAAACTATTAAATTTTTAAATAACCCATCTCAGGTGTTCAGATTCCTCATTTGTAAAATAAGAAGATTGAGTAGCATATTTTCTCTTTGGTCTCATTTAGGGGTAATAGTGTTTTTTTGTTTGTTTCTTCGTTGTTTTTTTACATTTATGTAATTTTATATTTTTACTGTTCCAGAGACTATGTTAGATTCAAATATAATTTAAGAATGTTTAGCGAGCAGTTGTCTTTGAAGACCTGAAAAACAAAGCTGACACATGCTTATCAGAGCAGGGGGAGCTACAGGACTGGCATGGTGAGTACAAGGTGTGTGCGCAGCTCACAGCGGGAGGACTAACCTGAGCACATACCAACGGTTCGTACTGGGGGGTTTGGGGGTGGAAACATACTTTAAAGGCAAACTCCAGAAAGATTTGAAAGACTAATGTACCTGCACTTTACAAAGGTGGGAACAGGGACGGTCTGGAAAGGGTAAAAGGCTAGTGGAAGGGAAGGTTATCAGCCTGTCGGTGCTGTGGGAAATGACCTGCAGGACAGCACCTGCCTTGGGACCATCTCCTGGGAGGCACAGCATCCCCCTGATCTGCAGGGGACACAGCACCCCAGCAGATGCCTGAAACAGAGGATAGTCCACAACTCTGTATATACTCTGTGTTTTCCTATACACACAAACCTTTGGTAATGTTTAATTTATAAATAGGCACAGTAAGAGATGAACAATAACTACTAATAAAACAAAATAATTATAACAATACACCCTAATAAAAGTTATGTGGCCTTGTCAGTGTGGCTCAGTAGTTGAGCATCGACTTATGAACTAGTATTCAATTCCCTGTCAGGGCACATGCCTGGGTTTCAGGCTGTGCAGGAGGCAGCCGATCAATGATTTTCTCTCTCTCTCTCTCTCTCTCTCTCTCTCTCTCTCAAATCAATTAAATATATTAAAATAAAGTTATGTGAATGTGGTCACTGGTTTCAGAGGATCCCGTGCTAAAGTCTTCTTATAGACTCATTGCTTTCTGGTGCACCACATTGCCATCAATCAGAACATATCTTCCACCCATAAATTTAATACCTTCTCTATCTTAAGTACTTGTCACATACTGTGGCCATAGCTTTTACAGTTTAGGGTACACTAGAAAAATTAGCACAAATTTATTTTTCCTTCTTATAGTTTCACAGATAAGATTGGTTCTTACTGTAGACCTTAGCAACCTCAGGATACAACTCCTTTCCTTATTAACTCACTTAAAGAAAGAACCTCGTGTCTTCTCTCTGGCATATCTGAATTGCCAGCATCACCACTCTTGCACTTTGGGGTCATCATTAAGTAAAATAAGGGTGACTTGAGCAACAGCACTGTGATACTTACAGTTGATCTAATAACCAAGAAGGCTGCTCCCTGACTATGGGTGGGGAGGATCTACTGTGTGGAGAACTTGACAAAGGGATGAGTCATATCCTGGGTGGGATGATGTGGGAATCTTGAAACTTCATCACACTCCTCAGGATGGTGTGCAATGTAAAACATGAATTGTATATTTCTGGGATTAATATTTTGGGACCCTAGTTGACCTTGGTTAACTGAAGCTGTAGAAAGTGAAATCTTGGATGGGAAAAACTATGTAGTTGCTGAAGAACAAGGTTCTGACCTAGAATGGCAGGTAGCAGTAAGTCCAGATCAGAAAAAAAATAAATAAAAGAATCAAGAGACAGGAGCAACATGCTAATGCAAAGGCCTACACCCAGCATGGTAACCTTAACACACAGAAGAATGGGTAGGGTAAACATTTTTGAAGAAATGGAAGTCTGGTTTCAGTGTGGCAGTGAGAAATTCAAGTGGAAGCTTTAGCAGGCTTCTGGGACTCTAACACTGGACTGAATGTGGGAGAATAGAACATGAGGTCTCTGCTTAGAGAGGAAAGGGGAAGCCTTTGGGGCGGGGGGTCCCAAGGAAGTGTCTGCAGAAAGGAGGCTAAGGCGTGGGTGCT